ACTTTTATAATGGTGCAATTGACAGCACCTTGTCAAGTGCCTTATTTATTGTTTCTAATCTCACTTTACTGTGTTTCTTCAGTGAGGGTCTGAACACAGAATCATACAGGGTAGAAGAGGCCTCCAGGCCTGTATGAAGCAAGTCAAACCTCCTGTGTGAAGCGAAGCAACTCCAGCTGGAGCTGGGAGGTTGCCCAATTAGATTCTTAATATTCATTCTCCTGATTTTTCATTTAAAATATTCATTTGATGCAGCAAAGTGCAAAATAAAACACTTTTAAATAGGTCCAAGTTGTAAAACCAGAGAATTGGCAGCAAACCTGAGCAGCACATCCAATACCTGTATCAACTGGAATGTTATGAAATAAGTAAGCAATTGTCTAGACTTCCACTTGCCTTTGCTCATTTTGCCTGAACAAATTTTTAAAATTCTGCTCTCGGGGGAGATTTCCTAGAACAAAAAGATACGTTGGGTTTTTTCAGTGTGGAGCAAAACACTCATTTTTCTTTTCTAGCCAAGTAAATTTCTTGCAAGAATATTGGGGGTTTTTGTGTTTTTATAAGAGCACAGAAAACCAGAGGAAATAGTTGAATATAATTGTATTTCATCCCAGAACAATAGCTTGAAAAATGTAATGGCCATTCATAACAGTGACTGTGAGTCAAACTTCTGTTAAAAGTTTGTCTCAGTTTAAGACAATTTAAAAAGTGGACAATCGCAAATGAATTACCTCCCCTTATAGTTTTAACCAGTCCATTTCCACCATAAGGAGAAATGAATATGAGTTTACATAAGTGAAAAGAATAAAGATTTACAAACATACGAAAGAGCAATAGGCAAAATAATCACAGGAATCACCATTAGATACAAAATTGATGAATATCACTGGCCCTCCCAGAAAAAAGAGGAACTTAAAATGGTGGAGTGATCACTCCTCCAGGATGGTGGCCCCCACAGCTGGCAATGTGGTTTGAAAGATGAAGGGAAGCTAGTGACAAGCATGTCCTGTGAAGGTAGGAGCTTACAAAGTAGTTCTGGTGCCAGATGGAAATCATGGGCATTGCTGGGGTGTGACTCTGGCCCCACAGTATCAGGCTCTGGTTTGTTGGGTGTGGGTGCTGCTGTCTCTCTCTTTCCTGTCATCCAGGAAAGAGAGAGACTCTGCTGGCATTGCTGCTACTGTTCCTGAGCCATTGGTGTGTTGGGAGGGAGCAGCAGGGAAGAAACAGTCCCTCAGCACTGATGTGTGGTGACCTGACTTTTCCTGTCTGTCGTGGTTTGACACAGGAAAAGAATTTTTCTCGGAAGGAAGAGGTCAATTTGGATATTGACCAATTGAGGGTGGATACGCCTCTGAGAACACAGAGAGGTTAAAAGCAGAATTCCCAGGAGAACTCGCTTCCTTTGGTTCCGGTCAGAGTGCAGTGCAGACTCTCCTCTGCCCGGCCCGTGGCTGGGTGGGGGAGGGGACCCATGCGGCCCAGCTTGAGGTAAGGCCGAAGGGTGGAGGGGCTGGAACCGGGATGGTCCCCTGCAGATGGAAGGGTGGAGAAATCTGGGATGTCTCCGTTCCCCCCCAGAGCCTCCCTCTCTCGAGAGAGAAAGAGACAGTGGCAGTTTTCTCAGTAATACACTGTGGGGAAGGAGAAGAGTGGGGGGGGAGCCACCTGTGGGAGCTGGAGCCTGGGCAGTGAGCCATCCTTGGGAGTCAGGACTTTTAACCCTTCCTTGAGAAATGAAGGCTTTGTGAAATATTACTCCTCCTTGATTTGAAGGAAAGAGAGACAGCCTGGGACCTGAGCTTGTGAGGGAAAGAAGGTTGGTGGGAGATGATGGAGTGGCTTTTGGCTGGATTTTTTCTTGGTAGCCAATTTTCTCCTCTAAGAGAGAGACTGTATTTTAGGAGGATGCCGGTGAGACAAAGAGACCTGCTTCAGCTGGGAAAAGACAGAAGTGGAGCAAACAGAGAAAAGTTAGAGAGGTTTGTGGTGGTGCCCCCTGTCTTCAGAGAAGAAGAAGATCTCTGTTCTTGGATCCTCGGCTCCAGAGGAAAATGGGGGGGACTGTTGGTCCCAAAAATGAAAAACTGAACTGTTGTATTTCCCCTCTTGGCAGGGCATCCTTGAAAGGAAAAATCCTAAAAGTGGTCTGTCCATCCATGCATCGGTGGTGAGAGCACTGTGCATGGAAAGGAGAGGGTCACCATTGGCAAACTTTTTTCTCTGGGCGGTGCCATGTGGTGACATGGAAGCACAGGATGTGGCAGCTGTGTTTCTTGGGGGGTCTGTGGCACAGGAGGGGCCCCTCTCCCCCTCCATGGACTGAGTATTGATTGTCTGGAAGGTGGAAACCTGATTGGGGTCCAGGTTGTGTCTTGCTGTGGTTTGTTGGAGTTGGGTGGTGGGAGGAGGAATGTTTTGAAAGGTTTTCATTTTGAATTTTGTGGTTGTTTTCCTTTCTTTTTTCTTTTATAATAGTATAGTAGTAGTAGCTTAATAAAGTTTTTTTCCCTTGTTATTAAGCTTGGGCCTGTTTTTGCTCTGTTCTCGATCGCATTTCACAGCATTCAATTGAGAGTTTGCATTTTCATGGCGGCACTGGCATTGTGCCAGTGCCAAACCATGACACTGTCTCAGCCTTTGCACAGTGAACAGATGTTGCAAAATTCATTCCAAAACAGGTTCTAATTGTAAAATGCAGCTTTTTGGGTTGCTACTGTTGTAAGCCCAGAAAAACCCACCTGAACCAACATCTAGCTTGAGCAAATGCCATGAGAGAAGAGAGCACTTGGCTTGGGCATTCCAACATTTTAAAGGGATTGGCACCACTCCCACCTGCCATGCAATTCTGTTTCTGACTGTGGTGCTGGGCCTTAAAGTGTTGAACTATTTTGGGCACAGGCAGATCTGGAATCCACTAACATTTTGAGTTACCCAGGACAGAGTATAGCTGTGGAAAATGTGTATTTTATGATTGGCTCTTCGCAAAAATTAAATTGAATATTATATGTATTATGGAGGGTTATTTTGTAATACTGTATTAATCCTTTTTAAGCAGTGTGTTAAATATAGTTTTAGGTTATAACACAATGTTAAAATAGAAATTCTGCAATGTAATATACTTTTTACTAGCTCAAGAAAAGAGATAAGATAAGAAACTCTTTGCACAGAGATAACAGTGACACGGAACCTGAAGAGTTATGGCCTCCTTATTGGAAAAGACAAACATTCTTCCCCTGTTTCTCAGTCTTAATGGAACTACCAGGATTAAGGGGAAGAAGTTGACAAAAACCAGGAAAAAATCTTAATTTGCAAGGAATTTATGCATCATGTATGAGATATATGAATATGCAACAGGCTATTGATTTTAAGGGTTATTCCTTTGTTCACAATATATGTTTTTGGCAGCTTAGTGTCCAAAAACATCCAGACATCTGTAATTCTTTGCTTTTTATTGTCTTGTAATTGTCCTAACTCTAAATTTTTATTACTCTAATTATATGACTATTTTTATAACAATTTTATTAAACTTTTAAAAATTCTAAAAACAAGTGATCGACGTTTTTCACAATAGCACAAATGTTATTTAAGTGTCAGGCAGTAATTCTCTACTTTCAAACTCCTGTTGGAATATGGCCACTTTTCTCACTTTTTTTTTTCCTGTTGCTTCTTAAGGCCAAGTCTATTTAATCAGACATTATCTTTTCAGATGTTCTGGCTGCAATGCTGACCATTTTGAAATTGACCCTACTGACTAAATTCCCTTCAGTTAATTGTGGCACGATTTCAGCATATATGTTTATAAAACATTTCTTCACAATACTCTCAAAAATTTCCAACCTTTTCTAACCTGTCTCTGAGGTTACCATAACTTATTACCATTTATTAACTTTGTGACACAGCTTTTAAACCTTTGCAGCCACATCCTGAAGTTTCCAAAAGACTTTTAATATTTTTGGTTGGCTTCCTAGGAAAACAAGGCTTATGAAGTTATGCTGCCTGTTCCTGTGTTTGTTCATCCCAATGTCTTTGATCCCGTTTTTCAATTTCAGCCAAACCCAATGGAAAATAGAGGTCTCACAGACATTACTCCATTCAAGTGGAGTAGAAACACACAATTCAATGCTCGAAAGTTAATGGTTCTGTTCATTTAGCTTGAGAACCTTGTACTTGCCCTGAAACAAGGCACGGTGTGCTCTGTGTCTTATGCAGGGGAGTTCAATGGCGTGGGACGGGGTGGGACTTTGGGAGAATTACCTGGGCACAGGTTGTTTGGGGAAGGTGGGAATTCAGCTAGTCACTGTAGATTCCACAGCCTCCAGAACAACTGGCTGTTGCTGTAAGGGTGGCAGCTTGCTTTGACAAGTTCCCGGACTACAAACAAGGACCGTGATGACAGGTATTTTAGGGCTGACGGTGCACTCCCACACGGGAACAAACGTCCCTGCGGAGCCTGAGGGGCTGAACAACATCACATGTTGAGGGCTCAGAGATGTGACTCGAGGATGAGCAGTCGTCCCCGCTGGCTGCTGGTGTGCACCAGGGCGGCTCGGACCCGTCCCTGTCCCGGTCCCCGTCCCCGTCCCAGCCGGGGACTCAGCCGCAGCCCTACCGCCGCCGCGGAGTCCCGCGGGGAGCGCGCCCAGCCCGCCCCGCGCCCTCCCCGCTGAGGGAGCCTCGGCATCTTCGCTCAGGCTGCCATCGATGCGGCGAGAGGACACAGCCTCAAGCTGCGCCCGGCGAGGTTAAGGCTGGACGTAAGGAGGAATTTCTTCACAGAAAGTGTGATTAAACACAGAAAGTGTGATTAGAGTGAGTTTCCTGGGCAGGTGGTAGAGTCACCGTCCCTGGGGGTGTGAGGAAAGACTGGACGTGACACTCCGGTACTGTAGATTAGCTGACATGGTGGGTTCCAGCCCGATGATGGGCTGGAACAGGACGATCCCAGATGTCTTTCTACACCAATTTCATTCCGTGACTCGGCGGGTTTGCGCTGCCCTGTCTGAGAGCGGCGCGGCAGCGCTTGGCCTCGCCAGGCCGCCGTCGGGGGCGGGCCCGCGGCACAGCCATGGCGGCTCCCGTCGTGCCGGAGAGCAACAGGTACCGGCGCTGCGGCGGCGCCGCTCCCGCCGGGCCGGGCCGGGCCGGGCCGGGCCGTGTGGAGCCAGGCGGGGCGGGGCGGGGCGGAGCGGAGCAGGCACCGCCACGGTGCCGGGGCTCCGCGGGGCTCGGGCCCGTCTGACACCCCTCCCTCCTTCCAGCATCCGCAGGGCCGTGTCGCTGCTCAACGCCGTGGACCCGGGCCGGTTTCCGCGGCTCCTCTCCCGCCTTCTGCAGAAGCTGCACCTGAAGGTTGGCGGGGCGCGGGGAGTTGCCTGGGGGTCGTGTAACGCTGAGCCGGGCGGGGCGGGAGCGGGGCTCAGCGGTGCTGGAAGGACGCGGGCTCGGGCCCGGCCGGAACTTGGGCAGCGCGGCTGCGCACCCTGAACACAACCCCCGCTCCTTTTAAAGGGTTTTAGATCTGGATTTCGTTCATCACGAGATCTTCAGAGCTGTATCGGGGGCATGAAGTAAAAGCCGGTATCGAATGGCGTGAGATCGATTGATGCTTGTTGTAGCCCGCTGCCTCCAAGTGCTGGTGCCTTCGACAGTGCTGTCAGAGGACCCGCGAGTTGCTTGGCCTTTTGCACAAACTCCTCTTTTACCCTCACAAATGTTGTCCACAAAAATCGGATTTGATATCCGGTTTGTAAAAAGCCAGTGATGACACACTTGAGCGAGACATTGATTATTTATTTCAGAATTGTGCAAGCCCGATTTTCAGTGGTGTTCCCCAAGGCAAGCACCCCAAGCATCAGAACTTTTTACCATTTATCTATTTTAGCAAACAAAGGCTTAGTGTTCATAGACAAGTTACATAGTTTTTATTAGTTAATATTTTGTCTTCTACTGTTTAATGATTTTCTCACTTCCCATGCTAATTAGTCTGCATGCTCAGTCTTTCTCTTCTCTTGAGTCAGTGGGCTTCTTGGGTTTGTGGTCTGTGAGCTGGTGGTCACTGATTCCTCTGCAGGAATTACCTTTTACCCAGTTGAAGCTGATTTCAGCACAGTTGCTGAATTGGCTTTATCAGTTTCTCCCTTATTTTGTGAGTTCTGCCAAATGTCCTTGCGACCCATAAATTCTGCATTCTTTGCGTTCAATATTGGTGGTACATCCTCCCCAGGTTTTGTTACCCTTCCCCTAGGTCTGAGGTCACTGATGTGTGTGGAGCCATAAACCTTAACTAGGCAATTCTTCCAATAAGTATTGTGTCTTTCTAAAATCTGCACATCACAGCAGAGCTCGTTAGCTGTTCTCTGTTTCATGAAGTCACCTTTCTTCCTGATTAGGCTTGAAAGTATACAAAGATTAACCATCAAAGAACATTCTTTCTTAAGAAAATGTTACATGTTCTGTGTTTTACAACACAAAGGAAGCACTAAATGGGCATTTTATGTATTTTTCTGCATTTGTGGACGTCCATCAATTAAAAACACCTGTGGAACTGAGGATAAAAGTTAAATCCAGAACTTTTAGTGAATATTTCTGTCGTCTTTGCAGAAGATGATTACTGATTGAAGAATCAAAAGAAATAAAATAAATAACAAAAGAGAAAGTAAATCAGTATTCAGTTTCATTTTGATACTCTTGTTATAAACGTTGTGATCATTGAAAGTTTTGTGTAATTGCCTCATTTTTTAATTTCGACAGCTAAATTGTTTTGCTTGTCTAGCTTTGCAGTTTTGGATTACTAAGTGGTCTAAATGTGGTGTTTGTTAGTAATTGGGTTTTAAAAGAAGGCAACGTCTGCATTTTAAATTACTATTTAATTTGCTGTAGTATAGTACGTACAACTACTGTATTTTTAAAGTACAGCACATTCTCAATTGTCTTCAGAAACTTAGGAGGCTATAGATTCAAATTTGACTTTCAAAATAAATATTCATTAGGCCTTTACTGCCTTTGCAACAGCATGGGTGATTTTTTGAAGGGTATCCAGAGTGGAAGCTGCATACATGACTAACTTAACTACAGTTTTGCCTTCTGTTTTCTGGGATGTGATTTAAGTAATGCAGTTTGTATTTGCCTTATTTTTATTTATAAAAGTTTGTTGGAGATTATCTGATAATTGGAAGAATAATATTTCTGTAGTGTCTAGGAGGCAGATAGAGAAAGCTTTTTCTTTTGATGTATGTCAGATAATCCTGTGGTACTGTGTTGGCTTTTAATTTTGATTTTCAGTGAGAAGAATTGCATCTGCTTTGTAATTTCTATTTAGAAACAACTGGATAGCCATTGTGTTTATAAAGATGAGGAGAAAACTTTTACTTTGATAATATGTTCTTGGTTCTTAAATAAAATGTTAGGACTAACCATTTTTGTGCTTCAGGCTGAAAGTACCTTCAGTGAAGACGAGGAAGAAAAACTTCAAATAGCTTTTTCATTGGAAAAACAGGATCTTCATCTAGTTCTTGAAACTATATCATTCATTTTGGAACAGGTATTTTGTTTTCACCATTTGGCATTAATAAATGTATTTTTTACCCAGCTATAGATTTCAAAAATAGGACAGTGAAATTAAAAAGAAAGTGGTGAAAATATATCTATATATAGCTGTATATTTTGTATGTTTTGGATTTATGATTAACTGCTTATTGTTTCTTGCCTTTCTGATTTGGATGGGACTAGGTGCCTTTGTGCAGTGATTGTACAGCTAGTGTAAATATTAATAATATAAGTGAGGTCTGCAATACTCCAAGGGAACTCTTGATAATTATGAGATATAGTATTCTCTATTATTTATTGTATCAAGCAGCCATGCATTTTTTAAGTTTTTGTGAGGAAAGTCCTAGATAACATTACTGAGCACAGTTTAACTTACATTAGGATTCAGTTATAGAAAATTTTCATGCACAGAGGCAGTCTGTACTGAGGTGAACAGGCACAACTAATATAGGTCAAGAATTTGGAGAAGTGGATGACTGCATGGTGTAGCATGGTGCAGTCATGTTGTAAACAGCGAAAGCTTTCTGATTTGGTGGTCTACCTCTACTAAAGCTGGGAAGCTGTTATATTAACCAGTAAATATGGCAACTTTTAAAAATTGTTAAGCTCATACTGTTATCCATCCATTTAATGCAAATATAGAAAGTGGAGCCTTGTGCAGAGGGCATGCATAGTGGTGGTCTTTTGGAGGATTTAAATCTGGTTCTTTCTTACACATGTCAATTTATGATCAGTTCACTTAATTGACACAATCCGCTGCATTAGAAATAAGACAAACAGTCCTCCTCATGGCTTCCATCCACCAAAAAATCAAAACAAAACCTGAGGTCACCTCCAGACTGCAATTTTTAATTTTCATCTCAGCAAAACAGCAGAATTGCTTGTTTACTCCCTTGTCCTGATTTTGTCCAACTGCTTAATTTATAATTATTGAAGATGAAAAAAAAAGCAGTTAATTCTCTTCATGCTTCTTTTGCATTAGGAAAAAAAAAAAAAAGGGGAAGAATATTAATATCTGCCAAAAAAAAAAAAGAATCCAAGATGGACTACATATTGTATGAGAACTCTTTGTTTTCCTGCTGATAGCTGGCTTCTTGTAGCAGCTGCTTATTCTGTTAGATAATAACTGTTTTAACAGCACTTTGGTCTGTAGGGGCATTATAAAGAAAAAGACTGCCATACAGTCTTTGCCACGTATGTTGTTTGATTTTTAACCAGACCTGGTGGTGACACAGTCCTGTTTTAAAAGTGGTGAACCATACAGAATGTCTTCCACAAAAAAATTGATGGTAATAGGGAGGTAATATCGAACTCATTCAGTTTAGGCAAACTGTTCCTGGTTTTTCAGAATATTACCTTGTAGTTTAGTTTTGCTTGAATAGTGTGAATTTGGAAAAGTTCGCCTTTCTTGAATTGGCTTCAAAGCCCATCTGTTTTTCATTGATAGCTGCTTTGCCGTTATATACAGTGGAAACCTGTACATACACTCAGATCTGACTTGTGTCTACATTTTTTTTTTAGTGTGTCTATCTTGAGAAGAGTAATTTGTAACACTGCATTTTGAGATTGTTACAGTTTTCCATTCACCAAGTAAGAGGATTAAGATGAAAAGGATGCAGTAGTTCTCCTAGTGGAGTTGCTAGTAAAAATCTTGTGTGAACACAGTGGCCTTTTGTGCTAGAATGTATCTGCTGTGTCCTGTAGAACAGCACTTTGCAACAGCACTTATTTTTCCTTTAACAGGCAGTCTATCACAATTTGAAGCCTGCTTCGCTGCAACAGCAGCTACAAAGCATTCACCTGGATCAAGACAAAGCTGAAGCATTTGCTAGTGTGTGGGCGGCTGCAGGTCAAGATACGATTGAAAAGTTCAGGCAGAGGGTTTTAACCCCTCAGAAGGTAATGTGACTTTTCTTCTGAGAGAGAATAAAGTTGTATTAGTTCAGTTTAAAGTAAAGAGTTTTAAATTAAGTTGTAAATTTTGTGACAAACCAGGTCAAATTTGATCAGGACAGTTAAATTCTTTTGTTTTAAAGAAATGTTACATGTTAGCTGAGCTGCTGTAACTGCTGTAACCCAGCTATATATGCACTATTAGCATCCTGCATACTTTTTGTGAACAGGCTTTACAACATGCCCAGAGGACAATGTGTTCATGAGCATTTGTGGTGATTGAGCACATCAGGTTGGTCATTCTCTGTGCTTGTGTCTGAGCTCCTGCCATCTTTAATTGTCTAAGCTGGTTGCATAGTGAATTTTGCAAGATACTTAATATAATTTTATGGTGTTTTTCTATGATGGCATATAATCTTGCTTCCTATGTGTGTATTGCCACTTAAAACTTGCTACATACTTTGAAAGTCTCATTGTATCTCTAGACATAGATGTCTATATCTATAACAAGGTATAATATAGTTTTGTTGATTCATAATAACCCTTCAAATGCATAAGGAATTGTATATAGAACACACCAGTGTCAGCCAGGATCAAATTTTTAGAAAGACTTGTGAAACACAATTCCGTTATTCTTACTTTATTTTTATTGTTGCTTTATATTTTGTTGAGATAAGATTCAGTTTGTTCACTAATGATTTGATGACTAAGATAAACATAGAAAATAAATTGTATCTATTAAGTATACATGATGCACAGAGAGAACTATAACAATGTAATTTGTACCAGCCTGCTTGCTCCTAAATAAATCTAGAATTTCACTTAGGTGTAAAATTCTCATTTTGAGAATTTTGAGAAGATGGCTTATATCTATGGAACACACTAAGGATACTCTGAATTGCATCACAGTTCATTTTTTTCGAAGTATTTATGCTTGATCCTTTGTAAAACTGGGTAATTTTAGACACAAAACTTACAGGATTCTGATGTGCAAAATTATAATAACTCATGAATCTAACAGTAAATTACTGATAGTGTAAGTATACAAAAAAAAAAAAAAAAAAAAAGAAAATCAGCAAGATATTTTGTGTTTCTGGGGATTTTTTAAAAATAATATTACCAATGCCAAGTGTACAAGTCCAGAGTTTAAATGGTCAGTGGGATGGTAAGTATAGAGGCAGGTATGACTGTCCATTGAATGAGGTAAGTAATTTGAAAACCAAATGAAATGAAAGATTATAAGGTAAACTTTTCAACATACAGAACATATGTACAGAGTGGAAGGCAGTTCTGAATACAGCCTACAAAGCAGATGTCTTTAAAATTTTCTTCAGGCAGACTATGCATTAATACATGTTTTACTGCTGGCTCCTCAGCCTATGAGAAACTAGTAAAAACACCTTTCATCCTGTTACATTTCCAGTTTGTACAGTACATACCAAGGTCCTTCTCTGATCTGGTTTGGGAATGACATTGCTCTGTTACTTGTCTTAAGTTTTGTCAGCCCTGCAACATACAATGTTTCTGGTGTATGTTACAGTTTTGGAGGTTCTTTCTAACTTCAGCACCATATGCTAAGACAATGGTGTTTTCCTGCTGTATTACATCCCATATAAAGAAGTTTTAAACAGTCTATTTAATTGAACTTGTAGGTAAGCAACTGCAATAATATTGTTGTGTCATTTACTTGGTTTTTAGTGTGAAAGCAGGTTTAAATACAGGTGTGTGCTGCTACATATGCTTAAACCATCATTTCCCTCCTGCCTTTTTGCCCAGATAACAGGCTGAGTTTCAATTTAAGTGTAAGTTGAACTGGAACTTGAATTTGCTTTCTCAGTTTGTTTTGAAAGTCCCTGAAGTATTACTCCTGTAGACTTGAAGCTTACAATAGCTTTTCTTAAAGATTAAGTTCACAAAACTAATTGCTGAATAAAGAATTAATTCTGCTAGCAAGAAGTAAAAGATTTGAAAAATTGGATCATAATGGAAGAACAACTTGCCATATCCCTATAATCTTCTGAATCTCTTTGTAATACCTTACAAGTGCAGTAGGTGACTGCATTGTTTCATTCACTATTGTGTGTAATTGCATATCTGCATGTATTTTCTGTATTGCCTTTCTGTACCTTGAAAAACAGTGGGCAAAATATTCTCTTACTTGTTGTACGTTGCTGTTCTAGCCAATTTTTTGTAAAGTTCTTTATCATCTCTTCAACTGAAGTTAGAAAAAAGTTATAATCCTGACAAATGCTTGGAGAAGGATGATTATTTTTTTGATTACAATAATATACAATCTAAAATTTACAATTTTAGATTACAATGATATATAATTTAGGTATTTATATTGATTTAGAGATTATATTAACTTATTTATTTGTAGAAAAATATGTGTAGTCAATTATTAATACCCTCTTCAACATGTAAATATGAATGTAACATATTAAATAATTGATCCTATAAATATGCCCTCTATATCAGTATTTGTTTATGTGGGCATATGTTAATTTTCAATTTACATTGTTCACTTCTCTTCCGGAAGCAAGTTTGTGTACAGAAAAAGAATGACATTTATATTATCACAGGTTCCAGCAACATAGTCAGAGAATAGTTGAAGCTGGGAGGTACCTCTGTAGTGTATCTGATCCAGCCCCTCTGATCAAGCAGGGACATCTAAACCCAGTTGCTCAGGACCATGTCTAGACAGCACCTGAACATCTGTGAGGATGCAGATTCCACATTCTTTCTGGGCACTCTTTGTCAGCTCTTGGCCACCCTTGAAATGCCTAAATGTTTTCCGGTGTTCTGAGAGAGCCTCCCATATTTTAGTTTGTGCCTGTTGCCACTTGTCCTCTTGCTGGGCCTCACTGTAAAGAGCCTGGCTCAGCCTTTTCAGCTTTTCTTCACATAAGGAGTTAAAAAGCTCTCTTGTGGCTTCTTCTCATATGTGAGGTACTCTTCCATATCCCTTCCCTGCCCTTCCTATCTCTTCATCATCTTGATGGCCTTTGCTGTACTCTTTACAGTACCTACATGACTCTTATACTGTGGGGCCCAGTGCTGAGGCCTCACCATTGCTGAGTACAGGGGAAGGATCATTTTCTTCAGCCTGAGGCAATACTCCTCCTAGAGCAGTCCAGGATGGCTCATGATCAACTTGGTGTACACCAGGAGCCTCAGATTCTTTTTCACAAGGCTTTTTTCCAGCTGGACAGCATCCAGCTTGTACTGGTGCTTGTCCTCTCCAGTGCAGGACATTTCACCTCCTCTTGTTGAACTGAGGTGTAAAATTCACATTTTGAGTATTTTGAGAATATGAGGTATATATATGGAACAGACTAAAGATATTCTGAATTTTAAAAGGTTATAAAAATGAGTACTGTCCTTGTCTTGTATAACTTCCTGTGTAATACAGACCATAATTTTTCCTCAATATGTAAAAGAGCTTTTGGAACAGGAATCTGGTTGTGATTTCCAGGCTTGAAATGACAGGTAATGTCTACTGAAGAGTTTCCTGTCAGACCATTTCTCCAGTCTGTCCCAAGTCCCTCTGGGTGGCAACACAACCCTTTGGTGTACCAACCACTTCTCTCAGCTCTTCTCAGACCTCAACTGGAGTATAGCATGAGGGGCTGGCTGAGGGGCCCCCAGCACGACACAGACACATCTGTTGAAATGGGTCCACAGGAGGGCCACTGAAGTGATTCAAGGGCAGGAAGACCTTTGCTGTGAAGACAAACTGAGACAGTAGGGGTTGAGCAGCCTGTAGAAGAGAAGGCTTCAGAGAAACACTGTTGTAGCTATTCAGTACTTAAAGGGGGCTTACAAGAAAGATGGAGAGGGATGTTTTGCCAGGGTATGTAGTGGCAGAACAAGGGCCAATGGTTTTAAATTGAAGGATTATGGATTTAGACTGGATTTAAGGGAGAAATTCTAGATGAGGGTGGTGAGACACTGGAGCAGGTTGCCCAGAGATGTTGTGGATGCCCTGTCATTGGAAGTGTTCAGAAGATTGGATGGGGCATTGATCAGCATGATCTAGTGATCAACGTGTTCCCAGCCCATGGGCGGGGAAGTTGGACTAGATAATTTTTAGAGGTCTCTTCCAATCCAAATCATTCTATGAATCTATGAATGGTAGTTGTTGGTTGGTTTTTCTTTTCTCTTTCATGTTCTTTTAATAATATATACCTGCTTTTTGGTTATCATTGCATATTTGGTATGGACTGTTGCTGACCTGTTGAGGTGGTGTGCCGCACTACATATGAATTCAGAATTTAGTTCATATGTGGTTCTTTTGTACTTTTGCTTACCATGTGCTTTCTGCACATTAGTAACTCTGAAATTTCTTTATTAGAAGCTTTAGTGGGTGTTTAAAGGGTTTGATTCTGTGGATCCAAGTGCGGACTCAGGGTAATGATTAATATTACTGAGGTCTCGATAGTTCTGTACCAGCACATACACAGTGTCCCTGCACACATCACAAGACAGAGTTTATGAAATAACTAAGATATGTTTGGAATTTTACATTGTGTTTTACTAAAATGTGTGGGACAAAATAAAGCTAAGTCTTTCCTGACACATGGTACTTAGAGGTTGTCTGGTTTGGAAGTATTGAAATGCTGACAGTACAGTATTTTCTGTCATGTACACAAGAAGGACTGAGCTGTAATCTGTTTCTTTTTCAAAACAATAAAAATGACATTTTTTTTTTTATTAAGGGTATGGTTTACACATTAAGAGAACATTGGAACTTGTGTGATTAATTAGCTTATCGTCACAAACTAGTGGGTAACTGAGTATTCAAGTTTGTTATTTCATAATAAAACAAAAAATTTGACTTCTGCTATTTTTGAGAGTAGGCCAGTGCATCTTTTGGCTTTCAGAAGTGTTCAGGTTTGGACTCCAGACCACTAGTTATTATGATAAATAATTTCTTGCAGGTAATTTTTCTTTATTGTTGTGCTATTTCTCTTAAACCAGATTATTTTCTTGCCTGCAAACTACAA